CAGGAAATCATCATCACGTGCTTTCAGATGGAGCAGAATTTACTACACATAGCCGTAGTTCACTGACAAGTTACACGCAAAAAAATAAAAATACATCGCAGACGATTTTATTGCGCAATTCTGAAATCATTTGCGATAATGACAGCTGTTTGCATAGCTTCTCAGTGAACTACGGCTCTAGAATAATTACCTCATTAGTGTTTGCTCCTGCTGAAACACAGTATGAGCAGTACATGACCTATTTTGCACAGCCACTTAACTCCAAAAACAAACGCAGTCAATCATGACCACAGTCTCAGCTACAGTGTACTACGGTCTGACACAAAAGAACATTGATGTTGCAAAGTCTGCCTCTGTTTTTATCCAACACCGTATAATCAGACAAGCAACAATCGCATAAAGGCAAGGGAAAAAACAATGTGCACCATAATGTGAGATAAATGTAAGATCATTCTGTCTCAGAATATGGAATATGGAGTTCACTCACAATGAGGGGAAAACAAAACATCTCTTTTATTCATAGGCCCAAACTTGAGAAAAATATAGTTTGGTGCATGACTTTTGTTATTTATGTCCATAAAGTAAGGCAAAATTCTGATAGCTTGTACTGTAAATCAATTAGATCTCTTTAACAACTTACACAAATATCATAGCATTAGTAAGTATTAGTAAGATATTTCAATGGTTTATGATCAAAGCTTTGTGGTTTCGAATGTGGAGGGCAAAATATATCATTCAATGAAAAGAGAGATGGACAAACAATTGTTCCTCAAAAGCCTAGTGGACCATATTAAAACTTCATAATCACTTCAGTTACTTCAGTTCAGTAGGCTACATGTTCATCATGACATGCTTACAATATAAAAGTTAGTTTACTTTATAAAAATCATGAAATATCTCACAGCAAAAAGACAAGTGTATCATGACCTGAAGGCGGATGTTTTTAGAATCATGTTATTTTTACTTGCTGAAAGGTATGAACCAATTAGAGTGCAGAAAGCATGTAGTGGAATAAGTAAAACCAGTTTTTCAGTAAAGTTTTGATCATGTTGACAGTTTAGATGCCATCGAAATTGATGTATCAAATATCATACAGTAGGCTTTATAGGGTTAAATACAAAAAAACGTTCTTTAGATTTGATTTTCAACACTTTTCTTTGCTGAATGGAAAGACGTGCAAGAATTGATTTCCCTCGCTACATGATTTTGAAGAAATTAATTTTCTTTCGACAGGTAAAGAGTTAAATGAGTGTAATAAGGGATAGGGAACATCGCTTTACAGCATCGTTTTGTGTGCAGACGTGCGCTTTTCAGATGACCTGCTGCTTCCTTCGGCATTTGCGCAAGTAAACACGATCATGTGCTGTAAATGAGAGCAGCGTGGAGCACCTGTAGACTCCACACAATTACGCACAGCTCAAGCAAGACACGTAAAGTCCTGTTTCCTCTGCATCCGCTTTCCACAACACAGGAAGAGCTCTCCGGCAGATCCTTATGAAAGCGCACACATATACAGAGAGCACCGGATCGCTCTCTACTGACCCAAACCTCGCGGCTAAATGTGGAAATCAATGCAGCGTAGCGCGCTTAAATCGCCATTTAGAGATCAATGCGTGTGGCTTGGAAACAAATTGTAACAAGCAACCGCTTGAGTCACCGCGCGCTGTTTACATGTACACGCGACAAATACAGTAGGTGTGTGCTGAGATTTACTCAGTGAATAAAACTCATATATCAAACAAAAACACATTATAAGGCATGTTATTATGAAAACATAAGCTTGAGCGGTGTATTAAACAATAGCAAAAGGACCACACCATCCAAGCCAGCTTTCTTTTACACCTCCCATTTAGGCAAACACGTACTAGCTACTTAATTCATAAACACAAACAGCAACAACCAGTTGTTCCCTGCTAAAACCGACACATACTTCCTCTTCATCCCGATAATAACACGTCAAAGAAAGTGAAATCCATCTATTAATCCCTTGAAGCGCAGCAGTATTGCAGTAGTTGTTGCTAACGGCCTAAATAAATCACAACCCTCCTCCACTCACAAACACAGCAGCTTACCAGCTTTATCCTGGTCGTATCCCACCACTATGAAATAATCAGCCAGTCTAGCCATGGTTTCCTCTTTTGGCGAAATTCTGCAACACAATTCAGCATTTTTCTTTCTTCAGAAGCACAGCCATGTTTGACACAGAGGGAGCCAGTGCGCCTGCGTGGACTGGCGGTTGTCCGTTCATGGGCGTGGGTCCTGCGTTCACTGTCACCAGCGATAATACATACTACACTCTCAGTGAAAGGATTTTCCTTGACGTGAATAATGCCATGTAATGTTATAATAATGCAAAATGAATTAGTTTATGTAGTTAGTTAGTCTTACTGTGGACTATGCAAAAGTATGATGAGTTCATAGATTCGTGATGGAGCACAGATAAGCGTCATGCCTTCAGAATTTGAATTTGTGATGCCAGTGTTTCAAATGTAAATAAAAGTTTCAAAATAATATTTCATACAATATGTGGTAATAATAAACAGCTGGTCACTACATTTTTTTTTTCTCAGGTGGGAGCTGTATTCCAGCTAATCTAGATCCTTTGGACCAGCTAATGACCATACATCATCCAGTTAATAAACAAGTAATACCAACTATCATTAAAAGGGTAACACGTGGACCATATGTAATCTCATTTATGCAGAATAGAACAGGAAAGTGTATATCAGGAAATATGTAGACTAATTGTTGAATATGGCACTGTTCATATTAGCTCATAACTGGAAAAAAAGTCCATAATCCACTAGAAAAGTTTTAAACACTAAATATTTCTTACAACAGACCCTCACAAATAATTTAATGAAATTTTTATTCAGTGTATGCGTTTTTTGTAATTGACCATCCATTCATCACTGAAAAACTAAAATAAACATAAAATAGTTGATTTATATTCTTAATTCTCGTTAATAATATTTTTTCCCAAATGAAGTGCCTAAAAGCCAATTCATCAAAAACCAGCATATGCTGGTTAGGTATGTTTTGACGCTGGGATGCACAAAGTTGCAAGTTAGATAGATTTATAATTAAATAATAATGATAATCAGAATAAACTACTCTAATATAGGTCTTTAGCTTATCTGTACAACAAAATAATGCGGCATAACCTTTACAAATGCACGACTCTGCTAGATATACCTATACACGTGATGATACTTTGTTATATGAATGATACTTTGATACAGTGTTACTGAATGATTACCATATGCATGTAATATTGTATTTAACAAGGTACCACCAAAAATACCTTGGTAATTTAATGGTAATATTTGTTGGTGAAATAAATGAGATTCTCAAGGAATGTCTGTTTTCAAATTTCGGACTATTTTTCATCTGTTTACACGATCACTCCAAACCAACAACAGTATGAAGTTGCCAATATAGAGATGAAAACTCATCATGACATCAGGGTGTTCAGTGACTCACTGTTAACTGTAGCATTCCTGAGCATATAACACACAGGTAAACCTATTTCCCACCTGCATCTGTGGGTTCCCTCATCATACTTCATCAAATATCAACAACCCTTGTGATGGCTATGACATATTGATTTAGCAAACATTATTTACCATATATGGGCTGAGAGGCAAACAACTGGATGGTGTCCGTGAGTGAATGTTGTGCAATCTTCACTTCCCATATAAGGATAAACCAGGGTTGCACAGTAATTAACATGAGGTAATTACATTTTTGTGAAATACATGTTGGCTGTTCTATGAAAAATTATACAAATTAATTTTAGTAATTATTGTATCAGGAGAATTTAATTTGATTTAGTCTAAAGTGAGGGGAAAAACATTTACAAACTAGGTGAAGGTCAGTAGGCATTCTCCCAAAAATTTAAATGTACCGTTATCTGTGTTTACATATCCAGAAATAGAGTCTTACCTCTTACATAGAAAATCTGACAGGTGTAACTCAAAGGTACTTTAGTAGTCATAGATCAACTGTCAATTAGAAAATAAACACTATCAATATTAGCTTAATCAATGTAAGATTAATAGCCCTTTCTAATACTGTTACAATCATTATATTTTTCTTTCAATTTCAATACAAAAATCTATCATACTAGTTTTATTTGATCTTTTTCGACTTTTAAAAATTATATAATATATTATATACTTGTGTAAATCCAAATTAATTGAATTGGCCATTATTGTTTATGCAGAATATTAATTTCATGTCAAAGAAGTTAAAGATTTGTCTTTTTGTCTTTGTCTGACACACAGATAACAGTTGTACCCCCAGCCAACATCCAGATTAAAAATCATGAGCAATGTAATAGAAGAAACTAAATTCATTGTAACGTTGGGATTTTTCAAAGAATTCCCCAGATTGGCGGTTGCTTATTATTCCCAGAAACTCTGATAACAATCCATTAAGTTATTTCAGCAATAACCCATCAATATCCCCAGTTTCGTTTTCTTATTCTCTTTCATTCTCTAATTGAGGTGGCCACCCTGAACTACAGAACTGAAGAGTTGGGATGAGAGAGCGTGTTACTTGCCCCTCCCATTTCCCTGCAGTATAAATGCACTTACGCCTGCTGTGGAGAGTCAGACTATTAGCAGAGTATCACCGCTGCCACAGCACCAAGAGCAAGTGAAACACCTCTGGATTACTTTCTACACAGACTTCTGAAGCCAACCCAAGAGTACTTCAACACAGGTATGCATTTTTAAAGGAAGCTTATGTGTTTCTGTTAGCTGCTCAGTATCTTTTCTTTTAGGGTCAAGGCTCATATGCACAGGTTATCTGTAGTTATATAAGAAAATGAGCCCTAGTTTTGCATCTATAAGCCAGGGAACTTGCTTCTGTCTGTTAGGCAAAAACTTAATCTGATTTGAAAGGAATTTGAGTGACTTTTTAAATTAGGTACTGATGGAGTTAAGGACACCGTTTTGTAAAAACCCACTGTTTTATACATCATTGTCCCTTTTACTGCTTATCAGGGACCTGAAGCATAGTTGCAAGTTTACTTATTCAAAGAAAGTGCGACCTCAGCTTGACATTGTAAATAAATGCATGATGAGTGTAAATAGCTTGGATTTTGGACTCTTGTGCAAGCGTGAGCAAAGCATGGTTGGCACAGAGTAGGGGAGTTGCATGGAGGTGATTGGAGGTTTCAGCTGCTTTCTTTCAAAGCAGATATCTGACAGATGGTTCATTTGCTTTTTCCTTCAAGATTTCAGTCACGATGCAACTGATACTGCAGTCAATCTTCTGCTGCTGCCTGCTGGCCACCGTTGCACCCGGTGTGGACAGTGCAAAGCATGACCTGAAAAGAAGGTAAGCTGATGTGTTGATTTGATTTCAGGCTTTTAGTCATGTTTGGAATCGGTTGTAAAGTTTCTAAGTAACACTCTCTTTTCTCTTCTTGATACTTAAGTGTCCGGCTGCAGAGATCGAAAAGGGATTTGAGCCTTGCTGCACTGAGGACTTTAGACAACAGCCAGTTTGTCAGACCGGACGATGTCAAAGACAACTTAAGGCCACATTCCAGGTAAGAATTAGCAAGCATTACCAGCTGTAAATTATGTCATTGTTTTCTCTAAGTTAAGTGTGGTTTCACATGATGAAGTACAAACTTGTCAGCCCAGGAACGTTAAACTAAGGCTGTAAGCCAAAAGCAATTGCTCAGGAACTCCAGGCAGGCATTAATGTCCTCTTCCCTTGTCTGCCTTTCCAGCACTGACATCAGCATTAGGACAAAACGCTCCAAGAACTCCATCAACCAGTCCAGGAGAGCGGGCTGCTCGCTTGGCACCTGCACGGTGCATGTGCTGGCACACCGTCTCCATGACCTCAACAACAAGCTGAAGATCGGGAATGCACCCGCTGACAAGATCAATCCCTTCGGGTACGGCCGGCGGCGAAGGTCCGTTCCAGAGAAAGTAATGACACTGCGACAGGAGGGCAGCAGGCTGTGGACGGTGTGGAGCAGCTCAAACTCTCAATCACGGCTGCACAAGCTGGAAGCGCTGCTCAGACGGACGTGAGCGCACGGGGTGGGAGCGCTCGAGGACGCGGCGACAGAGGCTCGCCGGCCAACTATGAAATTCTAGAAATGCCTCAGACTCCTGCCAAGAGTTCTCCAGTGCATTCTTTTCCAAGCACAGGGGCTGGAAGAGCAATCTTGCCTTCTGAAGGCTGTCCTCGGAAGAGAAATCAGCAAAGAGAAGCGCAGAAACAACAGCAGCTGTTGAAAACAAGTGGGGATGCAGATGGAGAAACTGAATAAGTGTGCCTTGGATATGAGCAAGATATTGTTGCACTGAAGTGGACTGGCCTCAGGGAAAAGCAGAACCACCTCTCCTGGGACAAATGGACTGCCCTCCTGGTGAACCAGTCGGTGGGATTACCTAGTTTAGCTGATCCTGTCCAGTGACTGTGTCAGAAAGTCTTTGGACTTCAAGTCGATTCAGTGGGGAAAGATTCATGAATCTGGAAAGGAATACACAGAGACTTTTAAAATGCCAATGAAGGTGTTTCTAATTTGAAATCACATTTTTTTGGACACTGTAAGCAGGATGAATGCTTTTGATTATATGAACTGTCTGCAAGTCCACAAGGATTGTATTCTAACTTACTTGAACATTGTTGTTGTTATTATTTGTATAGAGATATGTGCAATCTATTTCATTTTTATTGCAAGTATATGTATATTTGAAGAAAAAAAAATGGTCAAAGATATTACTATTTAATTGTTTTATATTACTTTATACTACTTACAGAGATAGAGCTATTTTTGTACAGGGAAAAAATAAGGGCATTGAAGGTAGCGTTATATCTATTATTCATTTATGTCAAGGATGTCTCAAGCTGTGGTATAGGATAACTTTTTATGCAATTATATATTTGTAAATGGGATCTATTTTATTTGTGTGTTTGTGTGTGAAATGGATTAACGTTGTCATTCAATAAAACCTGCATTCAATTAAAGCTGACGTCTTCTGGACCTCGTCTGTTTGTTCCACAGGAAGTGAAGGTAGTAAAAGGAAAGTGTCTCGCCATTGTTCCTCATCCGGATTGCCGAGTGGACAGACAGATGATCAGCACCTGGTCTGGGTTATTACATGTTAAAGACCCTGGGGTGCCTAGCAAATGGGGTGCCAAGTGCATTCCTTCTTTCTGTTTTCCATACCTACTCACTTCATACAAAGTGGGTTATCTGTATTTGAAGGGGGAATGGGCCAGGACTGTGTTTAATGGGACCTCTGCAGGGGGTGGGTTTGCGGGATGTAGAGCAGAGGTGAGAGGTGCTCCATAGGACATTCCACTTAAACACATCATTTTCATTCCTGTCTTAATGAGATGGAACTTCCGAAATGCACTTTTTACTGCTGCACTCATATAAACTTAATATAAAAACACCACATGAAGCTAATCACAAATGAACACATACAAGTGTCAGAAAAACACAAAAAAAACTTCCTTTAAGAATTGTCCATTGAATACAGGATGAAAAGGTAGATGTTTCTGCTGTAGCCTTCCATTAGTAAAATATTTCCTCCAAAGCTGCTTTGTTCTTTATGTTTAAGTGGCAAATAAGCTTCATTATTTAGAGTACTCAATAAGGCTGGAAAGTTTGACACATTCTGAAAATTCCAGAATGTTTAAATAAACAAGAGTCAATATCCACAACAGAAACTTACAGACAGTATGACAGTTTTTATGTTTTCTCAATGTTCCATCGGATTATCTGAACGAAAAGTGCACTGGTACTATGGTTACCTCACCAGACGAAACACAATTTCTGCTTGCGAGAGTCTGTTTACTACCAGGTAAAAATAGGCACTTTGACTAACTTGTTAACTAATTTTGGTGGAGAAATTTGAAATATTTGAAACCCCAACCAAAGCATATAATATACTTATTTTTGAATGTGCATTTGAATGAGGAATTAAGCTTTTTTTTCACAGTGGTCAGACGCTCTCAACCAAAATTTGCACCTTGCAGCTAAAAATGTATTCATTCAGTGAAGAGCCCTCCTTTTATCGTATTTTAATGCTATGGCTCCATCATGTGGTAACAATTATTTGAGTTATCATTCTTTTGCCAAGAATTTTCAAATGTGTTCTGGGACTGATGCCATCTGCCTCACTCATTGACACCTCATAAATCTTCACTCCTGTCAGTGAATATGGACCAGCAATCAACACAACGACTCATTTATACTCCGAGCAAGTTCGGGGCCTATATATTCAGATTAGATTTTTTTTTGACTGATTTAGTGACCAAAAGTCAGTTTTGGTGTACCTTGTATTAAATTAAATCCATGATTGAAATGGCCACCTACCTCCTACAAATGCTAATGCCAGCATTTTGCTAGTCCTACCAAAAAAAAAATGTCTTTCTTGTTTTCATTGTCATTTACTCATTTAAATGTGTTGTTTAAATACCTTAGTTTGATATTATGTTATCCAATATAATGACATCCATACATTTTTGTGTTTCCAAATACTTTTTGTGGCCACAGTACCTTCTTGTTCAAGGACACATGCACATCTCCACAAGGGGGCGATAATGAATAATGACAGAGGAAGAAAAAAATTATTTGTAAAACCTCCTAAACCTTCTTTGCTAAGTGAATTCCACATGCCATATCTCATACAACACTGGGGGGCAGAATTGAGTGTTTTTTTTTCTTTCATTTTCCTGGGAGAACTTCATGGGTTTATAATTGCAGTGCAGCTGCAGAGAGGACAAGTAGACAGAGAGAGTTCTGTAAGATCTAAGGCTGGGTAAGTGCTTCAATAAGTTTACTAACATTTAGAACATTATGAATAAATTACCTGACTTTTCTTTCTCTTAATGCAGCACATAACCACATTAATATGCGATTTTCAAAGACCTTAAAGGGGTCATATGATGCGATTTCAATTTTTCCTTTCTTTTTGGAGTGTTACAAGCTCTTGGTGCATAAAGAAGATCTGTAAAGTTGCAAAGACTAAAGTCTCAAATCCAAAGAGATATTCTTTATAAAAGTTAAGAGTCAACCACGCCTACCTAAAACGTCTCGTTCTAACACGCCCCCACATGTCTACGTCACGATGTGGGAAGATTTGCCATTTCATTACACCAAATACACAAAATAATGTTCTTTTTAGCATTATAGTCATCATATGACCCCTTTAACAGTTTTTTTTATCATGATACATTTAGTAGTTTTGTGTCTATTTAATGTTACCCTTTACCAGCAATTATAATGAACAGTTACAAATAGATGCCACTTATTCAACATGACATCAAATCTGTTGCAATAATGCTAATGTAAGAAACCCACCGATTCATGTCTTATCCTGCTACTGCACATGCTGCTCTGTCTTCTCACTCTCCAGGCCTGAGCACACAGGAAATGATGCAGAGACTCCAGGCGCCCATAGTAAAGCAGCTTTCCAGCCCATGTTTGGGAAAGGGTGAGCACTTATGATCTGTCTCTCCCTATCCTGCAGCAAGAAACGGTCTAACATTAGTATTTTTAATAACAGTCATTTTAAAATGGATTTTTTTTTATTGCAGCACTTATTTATTTATTCCATCATTGAATTGTTTACTGCAGGAATGGATTCTGATTCCAACCAGAAGGGGGCAACCAGGAATGTTATCCTGGGCCCTAAAAGGAGACATTGCAGAAACATTTATATTTGCTAATTTAGCAAATGGCTTTATCCAAATGAATGTTAGGGCACAAAACAATCCATCCTAAGGAGACAGTAACATGAGAAGTGCTGCAATACAAATACCATTTCTAGTAAAAGCAGAAGATGTAGGTATGATACAGTAAATGACAATTAAATACAGTTTTGTTTTATTTGAGAAAAGCTGACAATTTTAATAGAAAGAGGGGTATAAACATGGGTCCTGCAATTCCTATCTGTATCTCTGTCATAGCCTATCCTTAAACTTATCATCTCATGCTCATTTCCTAAGGCAGGGTTTCCCACGAGTTAATACCATTAACGAATTAATTAAATAATAATAATAATTAAAATGTTTTTGCAAAGAAATGTTACAGGTTTATACAAATGTGATCTAAATGTAAAATCTTAAATGTATAAAAATAATTTTATTTTTGGGAAACCCTGTATAAAAAAATTCTTGTGGAAAAAAAATGTAATAATTACATTGTAAATTACAGTAATATTAATTTTTATAATTTGTTGAGTGTAATAATAACAATAGCTATGTAAATACTACTAAATGATGTAAAACTGATAAAAAAATAAATGTTTTTAAAGTTAAACATGCAAATGTGCCATTAAATAATTGAAATATTTACTTAAAGTCTCAGGGGGTACTTCAAGTAATTTAGGTCAAAGGGGTTCGGCTGACAAAAAAAGTTTGAAAACCCCTGTCCTAAGGAAATGTGTTATTTGCACAGAAGCTTGAATCGCACAATGTTCTCACAGTGGTCTTAAAAGCTCAATCAAGCAATAAGACATGTCAGTAAATATACATATATTACATCTATTTTATATACAATTACATATACATACATGTACATATTTACATTTGCATATCCTATTAGCTAACGAGACTTAAAAATGAGGATAACACAAGCAATTTCTCAAATGAGAGGGAACACTATCAGCAGAATTTCAAGAGTAAAACAAGAGTAGCACAAAATATGGAGAAGAAATATACCTGTGGAAAAGTAGCAAAAATAAATATTTTATTTTTAATATGAAGTGCTATTATTGATGGGCTATGGTGTCTTTTTTATTTAATTTTTAAATCAATTAAGTTTCATTGACTATACTACTGAACTATAACCTAATACATTGTTTGCAGTTACATTGTACACAGAGCCTCTTGATAGCAAAGCACCTCTGAGCCATCAAATAGACCCACAGGTGCAAGAAAACAGAGTGGCAGTCATTCATTATTTACACAAGCATGTACAGCCTCAATGTAGAAAGGCATTCAAAGAAACTTGCACAGTTTATATTACAGATCATGGCTCAGTAGCTTCGGTTTAGCTTCTATACTCATCAACTCTGAGCTGAAGCCATTAAGACCTGCCTGTACTACATTAATCTCTCATAAACCTTTGCACCACACAGACCCTCAAATCCCTTAGTCAAATGATCCTGAACTCCCTCTGATCGATCAGAGGGAGAGAGAATGGGATGGGGAGATTTTCAAGCTGCATCTTAATTCCAGCCTGACAAATCCACTTCCAGTTCCTCCCCCAGCCCTGTCCAAGCAGCCTGTAATAATACCCAGCACATCACTAGGATTGTGAGGCGTCCACGTGACCGGTCTCCAAGTTTCAGGTCAGGCTGAAAGGCGCATTTGGTCTGAAAGAGAGAGTTGGGTAGGTTTTGCTGTTGGAGCTCCAGTTGGATAAGGTATGAGATAAAAGCAGCTGTTACAGGAACATAAAGGATCAGGTAAACCTACTTCCCCTTTGTCCCCTCACACCAAGTTTTTACAGTCTGTTTTCCATATCTCAGTATGCGTGTTTGTGCATAAGTGGATCATGCTGTGTGCTTCAAACAATCACTGTGTCTAAAAAGACAAAGGGTGAGATGGTTTGTTTATTCTATGGTTTCAAATGGATGTGATACAAATAGATGCTGGGCATGCTCCCATGCTCTGGGACAACATGAACAGCACCCTTTCTGTCAACACCCAGTTTAA